ATTATTCGTTATACATTCCGCATAATTCGTTATAGCGTTAACGAAGATTCTTATAACGAAGTCCTGATCGGCTGGATTGGCAACTTCGTTATATCGAGGTGTGACTGTATAACTAAATATGTATATAACAAAATAAATAAGTTGTTTATAATATATCTTATTTAATCAATTGCTATTTTATTTTTATTTTGATTCATTATAATTTGATAATCTTTAATAATAAGGTCCTATTTCAGGTATCATAATCAACACTATTTTTATTATTAGAAAAAGATTTTATAAAGCTATATTATACATTTAAAACTTTCACTATTGCAATTATATAATAAAGTGTAGATTAGCTGTTAATATAATAGTTGTAAATATATAGGCATTACATTAATTATTAAAGTAGTATTAATTAACATTTGAATATATATTATAATTATAAAATAAGAAAATTCAGATATATATCTTTTAAAAGATTAGAATTTTATAATAAACATTAGTTTTCATATTAAAGATTAGCTTATAATAATTTTTTTAATAGTTGAATATCTCAACTTGAATATTATTCTATAATATTGATTCATAATATTATAGTTTTGTTTGTTAAAATAATAATAATAATAATAATCTTAATATTGAGAATATGTAACTATAACTAGTTTAAATACAAATTTTATTTTTAATAACCTAATTCTTACTTCAAAGTAAAAATTTTTTCTTTCATCAATCTCATTATTTTTCCTTTTGATTATATAATCTTCAATAGTAAATGCTTTATAATAATCAAGACTACTTATACCATTTTCAAATCTAACAAATTTATTTATATTATAGACTTATAATTTTTAATATAATAATTATATTATAAGGTAGCTAGTATTTCTGTTAATTTAATAGAATGTGAATGTACAAGAACTTTCCATTTTTGAGAAAAGTAAATCTTTATAATTAATAATATAATCTTTAATAGAAAACTCAAAAAACATGATTTATATAAATTAAATACCTTGTAAAAGGTCAGATCTAGATCAATAAACTCCAGTTTCCTTTAAAGATTATCATAACAATACTAAAAAGAAAGAATTTTGATTTGATTCTTACTTCATAGTATATATTCAATAACTTATTGATAAAATTTTTAGGAAAATATAATCTAGCTTTAATAAAATTACAATGAATAATAATTAAACCTTTTATATTATTAATTTATTTTCATTTAAATAGAAATTTAAATTAAAAGCTGTTTGATATAATTCATAAACATCACATAATTTTCAATTTTAGATTCGATTAAGTATAAGTTAGATTTTGATAAGGTAATTAGCAATGATGATATATCTATATAGATATAAATTATTGTTAACTTATTTGATTTCTGTAAAATGATTGTACTCTTTAGTTTTATTTTTTACTGTAATAATTCTGATTAAGTTATCATATTATCAGTCAAAATTGAAGTATCTTTAAAATTTCTAATAGATATTAAATCAAATAGTTTATCTATAGATTGAGATTTTGATCAAGTTATATTTGTTTAACATCAGCTTGAATTTGATTTTCATGCCAACTATTTTTATAAACTTGAATATTATCTTAAAGAATGTCTTTAATTGATATTTCTCTTTTAAAGCTAAAATTTTGATAATAACCTCATAAGGGGCAAGATCTTATCACTTGATAGCTTTCATAATAACACTTTTAAACTATAAATATCTGATTTTTTTGTTCTGCTTATAATGTTTTATCTTATAATATTATGGTTCAATATATACAGGTATTTTATAAATGATTGAGATAGAAATTAGTTTAGTAATTGACTTAGACAATCAAAGATCTGAAATCATTAATCTGTCATTATGAACTAATATATTTTTTTTGAATCTAATTTTGTATTAATGAAAATAACTTTTTACCAAGTCACGATAGATTATACTTAGAATGTAAAAATATTAATTTGCAAATTATATCTAATATCATTTAAAATTTATATTTTCATTCAAATGAATTTTGAAGTAAGCTCTTAAGCATCCAAAATTAACATATTGTAAAACTATAACAAAGTTTTCATCAGAGTTTTTGTAATTTCATAGAATTGGTTGATATTAGGTAATAATGAATTTTATAAAGCAATTTCAACTAATAACGAAAAATAAAACTTAGTCTTAAAAAGTGGTTATTAAGTAAATAAGTTTATGTATATGCTTCTTGATAAGTCTTTCATACCATTTTGATTAATTGAATCATTTATTATACTTTAATGCAACTTAAATTCTATGATTATTCCAATTGGCTCAATCATTTGATATTTTCAACATTAGAAAACTCGTTATAATTAAAATTACTTTTGATTTAAGCCATTTATTTTTTATGAAAATTTTGATCAAAAGAAAAAATAAGAAATTTGTTAAACACTTTTATATTTCCAATATTAGTGATTCAAATTTATAAAAGGAAGAAAAGCAAAATTTATTTTCAAAATTGGAAATGAACAGCCAGAAAAACAAAAAATTATTCTCCATTAGGTTTAGTTGTTGGTCATATGAATATTTATATTTGCATATGTTATAAAAATAATTTATTGCATTCATATATGGTAAACCTCAATGACTCTATTTTTAATTTACCAAAAAAGCTTTATAATATAATATATAATATTATTTCATTTTTGATATTCTGATGATTAACAAATTGATAAACAAATTATTACACAGTATACGGTATGGTTACATTGTCTTGTGATTAATTTAAGGTAATTAAATTTTTCTTTACAAATATTTCTCAAAATTTGAGTTTAAAATTTTTGTGAAAGTTATTATCATATAGAATTATTTTCCGTTGATTATAATGGTAAAAGTGAAGTAATCCTTAAACTATTCTGTTAATTAACTGATTAAAATTTAGTTTAAGCCTGCACTTAAAAGTTATTAACCTTAAAAATCTTAATTCTGGCCGAACTCTCTATTTCGGCCAGAATTAAAATTAGATTTCCAAAAAACGGGAGCACAATTTTAACTATAAACAAGTAAATAATATAAAGTATCCTCTGCAGATCATGATCATCATAAGATCATCCGGGGTTAACATTGCGAGAAATGTCAATTTTTTTCACCGATTATTCTGGGGTATAAAATTGAAAAAGGATCCAGGGTTTAATCCCACATTTTTAAATCAAAACTCGGAAAGCATAATAAGATATCCCTTTATTTCTCCAAATTAGTGTCAGTTTAAAGTGTGGTGATCATTTCCTCATTTTGTTAAAATATATATTTGGAAACCTAATTATTTATTCCTTTGTAAGCCTGTCAATTTTTGTATGAATTACTCTTCAAAACGAAATTAAAGTTTGATTCAAATGTTTGTTAGTTTTAAATCAATGACCAATGAATCTAAAAACTTTTAGATGCATGATCTTTCAAACATAAACTGACAAGAAGCATTGTTTAAAACCTAAAAGGTTCAAAGTAGTTTTTTGCTTTACTTGATAGAAATACATTCAATTTGGCGTAAAATGAGCTCATGTCTCTGCAGGAGAGCATATTAAATAATAAACAATCAAGGAATTTATCCATTTTAAAAGTAATGTAAGATTCAAAACCTTTGATGAATGAGGGAAAATGAATTCCGAAAGACGCCATGCATATTTGCTTGTACATAGAAGTTTATTTTCCGCAGTCGAGAGTATGCTCGTATGATTTGAAGTGCATGATATTGAATGAGTTGATAGCGATAAATTATGAAGTTTGTTCGAGGAAGGAAACCTTTGAATGCTTCAGTATAATTTCATAATTATTATCATGAAGCATTATCATTATAAATACGTTTAAATTTTTCGGTACATCAAGTAAATTTGTTCTTTATATCTTGGACATTTTATCTTATTTTATCTGACCGTTTACCTTACACCTATTTAAAATATGACCGATTTACGTGTAATTCAATGGTCTTCTCAACCAAAAGTAAAGAAGAGGACTTCAAATCCCTTCTTGTTGTTCCGTAACGAGTTGAAAAAGTATTTGTCGGTGATTAGAAATATGCAGATGACTGAAGTCAGCAAGATCGCATCTGAACGCTGGGAGAGTCTTTCAGAAGATGATAAGGCTTATTGGCAAAGAAAGTATGAAATAAATCGTGATGCAACTGATGAGGTTGAACTTGTTGAAATGTTGGGCAATGATTGCAATCCTCCCCTTCCAGCAAATATTCACCAAACAAATGACTTGTCTTATCCTGTTGAAAACATTCAATTTGAAAATTATGATAGGTTTTGTTATTCTTGTCAAAACTTAAATGAATCCTGTACTTGTATAGAGTACTTTCATGAGACGAATCAGTTATCATGTTATCCGACTTATGTTTTCTTGCCCACTTTGGAAAATGTCGATATCATCTTCAATTCGACCGAAATCACAAATGATATTTATAATAATAACTTTTTAAATCCTTAAAACTTAATTTCTCCCGTTTCTCTTTTCTCGGCCATTTTTTAATTATTTATATTTATATTTTTATTATTATTATTATTATTATTTGGCAAATCTGATAGGATCGAATCTTTTTTTTTTTAAAAAAAAATTTCGCAATCTAATAATTGGCAAAAATCATGAACATTAAGCTTTTTTTTATTTTAAGGTCAAGAATTTAATTTCTTATTATGCTTTATATAGACTTCAATTTTACTTTTTTTTTGTGAACGTCACAAAAATTTTTAATTAATTTACGCAAATGAGTACTTTTAATAAACATAAATTTTTTTAAAATCGAGTGAGTGCAAGATAAATAAATGTAAAGATTCGTAATTCTTTGTCAAAAGATAAAAGTCATGGCTTCATTAAAAATATTCCTTTTAATGCCAATAGTATATATTATTTCAGATAAGTTTTTATGATGATGCAAAGATTATAAAGCTTGGTTGTGTTCTTTCAACCCATATGAGATACATAAGTGACAATCTCGTCGTAACTATTATTGATAGGAACATACTTTTACATTTACTTAACGTATGCAAATCAATGATAAAATTATACCTTCAGTTTGACAATAGAGGCCAATTACTCTCACTGCAAATTATCTAAACTCAATGTCAACCAAAGAAAAATATAAAATATTTAGAAATATATTAATTTTAAATTAAGAAGTGATCTGGTGGAGCTCCTTTGCTGCTCCACAAATATTTTTAGCTTTTCAATATTAACGAAATTATCAAGAAGTAATAGAATCTCAGCTGTTCAATCATTACATTAATGGTCGTCTTCGCTAGGTTATTAAGTTTTGCTTGATATAGGAAGTCAAAAGAGACTAAAAGAGGATAAGCAAAAGTTTTAAAATGAATATTGAACGAAGACATTAAGTAGTCCAATCAAGATTCAAAATGTACTAAACTAATTAATAAATTTATTCAATTTGCGAATGTTTGATACTGTGTTGGACGTTATAAGCAAATAATTTTCTTATCTAAAATTAAATTAATAATTTATTAATGTCGTACAAACAGTTGTTTTTATTATGAATGGATGGACAAAATTTACTAATTCTGAAAATTCTAATTAATTCTTTCTTTATAAACAGATTGGTAAAAATACTATTTTGTTGAAATCAAATCAAACGACATCATTTATTCCACTTACATTATTTACGACGTATCAAAAATCAATTTGTTTATAAATATTCAAGCTCGGCGAGATTTTTTTTTAATTTTTGAAAAAAAAAAAATAATAAATGTCTAAAATAAAATATTTTGAATTTAAATTTATTTTTAAGAAATATAGTTTAAATAAAAGAAATCATCTCTTTTTTAAATAAAATACTTTTTTTATCTAATAATTTTCTTTTTTTAATACCGAAAAAATTATTTATTAAAGTCTTTTATTTAAAGTTTGTTAAACAATAATTATGTAACTTTTTTTTTTTTTTTTAACGTCGCACGTTTTATGTTGCAAATTCTTTTCTTTCAAAGAAACGAGACAATAACATTGTGTAAATCTAGCCTTAAACCTTTCAAATAGATCTATGGATCAACGGATCAACAAAATTTGCTTCGCCACGCCACATAATTATCCTTTTCCAATAAATGTTGAACAATTTATAAAATTACATATACAAAATGTTTTTCAATTTCAAATGATTGCGCGGATAGATTCCCCATTTATATGTACTATGACGTAAAAGAATATTATTAACAAAACAACGAGATGACAAAGGCGAATTCGGGATCAACGCTTTAAAACTCCGGAGTAACACAAATTAATGCAAATAAACGCCCAAAAATTCCGGACTCCGAATTAAGTATAAAATAAGTTTTAAATTCCTGAATACTTTCAGATCAAAATAATTTCGAGCTTTTAATAAATAATTCACGGAAAGAAAAAAAAAATTTGATAGTTATTCGTAAAAGGACTCGTTTATTATATTTTTTTCAAGAAATCAAGTATGATGTTATTATTGTTGTTTTGAAAGTAATCCTTTAAGAATTATTTAAATATCTAATTAGCTTAAAGAAATATGACTGATTGATTTAAAAAAAATAATATCTTTGCACATGCACATAATATAGTTTTATTATCTTTTTAAAACAAATTTAAGAAACATCCTTTTATTGAAATGAAATTCGAAGCATAATCATTTCACTACCTGTCAAAATAAAACGCATCCGTATCAAAAGTGCAGAGACGATAAATGACATCCGAGAGCTCTGTTCCTTATTTATTTACAAAGGCGTAATACGCAGTAAATACAAACATCAATCCAATTCATTTTGTTAAACCGATTGAATAAACAACAAAAGTTCCGACTTTGACCGAAAATGCTAGATTAGATCGTCTTGATTTCAATTTCAAAGCAACGCAACCGGTGAATTCCTTACAAATTATTAAAATTAATAATTTGATAACAGAAACTTATATGATTTGACGGGAAGAAAGCAAAATATGGCGCCTCAACATTTACAGTAGCGATACAAAATCAACTAATCGGCCGGGAGATTCGGTGTTTTAAGAAAACTTCGTAAGATAAAAAAGCATATGGTTGCTTTAAATCTCCAACTACCACCAACTTGACTCGATTTTATTTATGGAACCTAAGTAGCATTCTTCACTTGGATGATGAACACCTGGCCTTCCGGTATTAAAAATCTACATCAATAATGATAATTTTTTTTTATTGACAATTTATTTTTAAAATTCATTCGACTTAAACATAAAGAATGATAATTGAAAAAGGTATAATTTGATCTTTTATTAAAATTCTTATAAATCTTATATAAAACAACTGAAATACTTTTAAGACTGAATTTTTGTAATTGAAATATTATTTGATTTATATGATTGAAATTAATTATGTTTATTTTTTAGAGTTACGAATCAACATAATATTTATGGATTCTATTAATGAAAGTAAGGTGAAGTTGGTCTAAGATGAAATCTTAATAATAAATAAATATATGATTTTTAAGTCTATTTATTGAAACTAACTAAAATTTTTTCTTCTTTTTTTATACATTTATATATCCAAATTAATCCAAAATTTTAATCCTTTGATTTATTTACTCCATTTCAAAAATTTCAAAAAGGAGCCGCCTCGATCACAAGCCAAACGATATATAATGAAGTTTAAACTTTGTACACGTAATGGCTAACTCATAACCAACGAATCTGAAATAACAAATGTTCATACAAATGCATGACCTGAACGAGCAGCGCAGCAAACCAAAATTCATTATTTTAATCACTAATTTCGATAACATTAACCGAATAACCAGGATCCAATTTATGATCAGACTTTAAGTGAATCTTCAAATCCTCTTTCTTTTCAAACGTTTTTTTACAATTATCCCAATCACAAGCAAAAGTACTTGTAGTACTTATAAAACTTACAATCGGGGGGGACACTTCATTTAATGATAAATCATAATACCCATATTTTGAAGATTTATCCCCATTGGATACAGGAATTGTAGCATTTGTTGTTGATGTTCCATTGACATTATTATTCATAACGGGAAAATTCACGGGAACGTTCACATTCACAGGAGCATTCTCGGGAACATTCTCGGGAACATTCTCGGAAACATTCTCGGCTACATCAGGAACGTTCTCGGCAACATTCTCGATAATAGATGCTACATTTACTTCATCCGAAGTCGACTCCTTATTAACATTAGATGATGTCGATTTCGATAGGGCAGCTTCCCTTTTTTTAGCCAGATAAATTTCATCCATTTCTTCCTTGGTCTTTCCTTTCATTTTCATTAAAAGATTCGCAATATCTTGATGATATTGATCATCTTCACGAGCAAGTTGTAATTCCTGCTTCTGAAGAACACATTGCAACTGCAATGTTGATATTTCTTTTTCTAACCTTTTTATCTGATCTTCAAATGTTTCATTTTTCTTTGAAGTCTTATCAAAAGTCGATTGAACTGATTTAGTTTGTTTAAGGTTATTATTTTCCGTTTCTAAACTTTTGATTTTGCTTTTACAAGCTTTTAAGCTGTTCTTTAATGTTTCTACTTCTTTTCTCAACTTGTGAGTGTCTTGTTCTCTATTCTCCGCGTCTGATTTCAACTTACTGTTTTCAATTTGAACGTCAGCCATTTCCATTCGCACCTTTTCCAATTCAATACTTTGAACTTCAAGCAAGGATCTCTTGCGTCTGGATTGTAATTCTCCGATTTGAGTTCTTGCCTTTGCTAGGTCTGAACTAAGTTCATTAACCTTTTTGCAACACCTTTCTTTCTCTTGGTTGATGTTATCGATCTTTTCATCTTGTAATTTTAATAATTCGTTATATTTTTGTTTCCAATCTATCAAGTTGTCCTCCACACACTTCTTAACGAAAGATGTTCAAATTAAATTATTAATCAAGCTAAATAGTAATGATTTTTAATTAAATACTTTACCTGTTCTTTACCATTCTTGCTTGAATCCTTGGAACTCCCTTTAACATACTTGTTGGGATCCCCGGAAAGATACCTGCTATTTTCTCGGTTAGGATTTTTAGAAGTTGATGGATGATCTCTGCAAGAATCTTGTGTCGTTTCTTTATTCTTGCCAGGTGAATCTTTGGTTGAATCTTTTAATGAACTCCTACGTGAATCCCTGGGAAATTCATCTCGTGAATTCTTTGGTGATGGAATTTGCTTGAATTTATTCAAATTCGTCGAATTAACTTGTTCTATTGGTGATTCAGTTAGTGGCTCTGTGGGTGATAATATATTTGAAGTTGATATCGTTAACGATGTTGATGCTTGATTGCTATCGTTAACCGAAATGAAATTTGATACTTCGGTGGAAGTTTCTTCATTGATCTTCAATTTTTTCTTCTTTTGAAAAAGTTCCTCATTCTGTGCAGTGTCTTTATCCTAGGCGAAATATAACAATCACGAAGGGTTAGTTTGTGAACGAAACCACACTCTTAACTAGAAAAGGAATTTCTTACTTTTCTTTTTTTGATGCTTCCTTCATCATTGACATCCGAAATTCGCTTTTCGGCTCTTGAAGATGGGAGGTCTCTACGTTCTCTATTACTAGGACTTGTTGCGATAAGACGTGATCTATCATGTGTGACATGCTCCGCTGGAATGCTTTTACCCCAAACCTTTTCAACGGCAATTTCCATCCCAAATGTTAAGTTTCTTAGCATTCCGTCATTTATCCATTGAAAAACTCTGTCACATGTTCCTTGAATATCAAATTGTCGTAATTCACAACCTGCTTCAATGCATTGATTTTTTTTCCACAATCCAAATTGTAAAATTCTTTTCATTTGAAATAACGATAAATTTGAGAATAATAAATTATCAGACTGTTGCAACATTTGATAATTAAGAGCATGTTCAAGGGTAAGTTTTGTGACTAATCTAATAATTGGAATGTTTTCATTTGCCTTAGTGTGCCATAAATGTTTCCTAGGATTAAAACTTGTGTCATATGCAATTACCAAGTCGAATTGTGGCTATAAATGAATAAATGTTAATAGGTTTTAAATATTTTTGAATTTGAAAAAAGAAATCAAAAATTTACCAATTCATCATCATTCATCCTTGGTAAAGGTGCTGTGAAAACGATACAACGTAACTTGTCCTCGTTAGAAGTTGTCACCCTGGATGATGTTCTCCTGTTTGCAGTTTCATTCAAAATATCATAATTAAGATTATGCGTTTTCATGAAATCTTTAATGATTTTCTAAAGGGAGGGGGAGAAAGGTGTGATACATAAATACACATATATGAAATATATTACATTTGTAACAGAAATGTGAATTCTTACATTCATTATTGGACCTTGTGGAATTGCAATACCGAGGGTAAGATCATGATGCCTTAATCCCTTTAACAAATGTTTTATCATCACCAACTTTCCCGTCTCAAAAGTTTGATATGAAGTGTTAGGTCCATGGGAATAACTAGGACTTGACGATAAAAGCAGAGACAGGTGGTTAACGATCTTAAGTAATTGATCCTTAACCTGGTATATAATTGAATCTGGCTCGGGAGGGGTAGACAAATTGGTCTCAGCCAAATATTTAAAAATTTGAGGTTTATCAATTGCCTTTCGATAAGCAATTTGTTGTAACTTTGATAAAGGAACGGGAAGCAAAATTTGAATAGGACGAAGTGATTGGCGTTGTATTTTTGAATGTTTAACAGCAACGGAAGTGCCAACACTTGAACTATCATCAGTTTGCCTCAATTTAGAAGAAGCAGAAGAAGAAGAAGAGTTATCATTTTGATTAAGATTTTTTGAAGCATCATCATCCGAATCTATAAGCATGGGAGTTTCTAAACTATCACCGCTATTTGCAGGATTGGAACCTGCAACGGTTTTTTGAAGCTTTCTTTCTCGTTTGATTGGTGAATTTTTCGTTGGGGTAGTTGAAGGAGATGAAGGAAATATCGGAGACCTTAATTTCCTTTTTCCAGCTCTATTGTGATTCCACGAGGAAATAAGTGGCTGTGTACAATGACTTGCAGGCTCCTAACATGAAAATGATGAAAACGTGTAAATATGATCTTTTTAATTTCTCTTTAAATAAAAGAAATAAAGAAAACAAAATAAATACCCAAGTTGGTTCCCAAGGCTTTCCATTATTGTCCATTCCTTTCCACTTTATCAAGTAAAATGTCGTATCTTCCATAGTTCTTTCATCCAAAATTCGCTCAGCTTCGAAATATTGGTTAGCAGTCGTATTCTGGGGCATCTTCTAATCCTTGTTGAACGACTATAATCGCTATCTTTATAAATTACGAGAGCAAGTGATATGATACAAAAATAAAAAATAATTTTATTATTATTATTGCCTAGAAAGAATCAATAGCAAAATTTTTATCCATCATTTTAACAACTTCAAGACATTTCATTCAGAACTATGGGTATTCTGTTATACTTTCATTTTGATACATTTGACCGTGCATTACTTACCAAGAGATAGCAAAACCCGAGTAAATTTTTGAAAATCTACTCTATTTTTTTTTTTTTTTTTTTTTTTTTTCTTTTTTATTTTTTAAATTTTTATTTTTATATTTATTTATTTATTTATTTATTTAAAAAAAAAAACAACAAGTTAAAAATTATTTTCTGAGGGGGAGAAAAAAAAAAAGGTTTTATTTACATGCGCCAAATTGGGGGACAATTTTTTGAAGCTCTATTAATCCCTTTTTTTTTTCCTATATCTTTAAAAGTATAAGTCTCAGTAAACAAAGAAAAAAAAAAAAATTAAGAAAAAAAAAAATTTTTTTTTCTAAGGATTTTTTTAAAAAAAAAAGTTATGCGCCAAAGGGATCATTTTGTGGTCAAGTAATTATTTATATTAATGAGTCATAATGGGTTGCACACAATTTTAAATGATATACTACAGGCTTTTTGAAAATCACCATTACGCCGCCCCTTAAAAAAAAAAGACAAAACATATGGTTTTTAACAAATGTCAAGCCTTTAGTTTTTGCAAGTTCTCGTTATTTCCCGGTTAATAAACATGATATAACCCTAATCGCAGACGGTATTCAACGCTTTAATTCTTGATATTTTTTTATGCCTCAAATTTCATCTTTGGCTTGGACTTTTTAAAAATTTAGGTAGCTCTTTTTTTTTTTTTTTTAAGAAAAAAAAATCATTTTAAAATTTCAACATCAAATAAAATTGAAACTACAAAATAGTCTGCATGAACTATTACCCATTAAAGGAATAGATCCGTTGATTTACATTTATCAAAAAAAGCTAGTATTGCATGACAATACATCCTCATTTATCCTTTTAAATCATATCCACAACAACTTATTAACCAAATAGATTTTAAAGTTTTCTTTTCCAGGTTAGTTAATTTTTCAGATATTTCTGGCGGAAATTACAACAGAAATGGGGATGATGAGATAATAATAATAATTAAATAAAAATAAATAATTATTTGATTTCTAAATAGTGGGTTATTCATATAATTTGTTTTGCCATCCTTTGATTCTAACCTTTATCCATTTTTTTTTATTCATTATTATTTTTATCTCTTCAGTTGTACCTTCAATTTTTCCAGTCACCGATATATCGGAAATTCGTTGTGAATCTCGCTCTATCTTGGGAAAGATCTGCTCATACAGAAAGAAGTTGAAAGAACTAGCATTTTATGCGAACCACTCATTATAAATAATAAATATCTTTCTGAGATGCACGGTATCGTCAAACATTAATCTGTTATATAATTAATGAATGGTATTAGCTCATAGAAAATTTTGAATATCACATTTGTTTCATTATTCATGGGGACGTTGGATTCGAGGAAGAAATTCCAATGACTAACTAATTCATTCATGTATTTGGAGAAATTTTCAAAGTAAAAATTTTGGACCGACCGAACTTAATGCATATTCCAAAAAAAAAAAAAAAAAAAAAAAAAAAAAGAGTAAAGCTGCTGCAATCACTTTTTATCAGGGAACTAAATTTATCAAAAGTGTTGGAAATAATTTAACAAGAGTTGTCCACTGCTGGATCATGGCAGAGAAAAATAAAAATAATAAAAAATATTTATGAAGCATTTTTGTAAGAAAAATTTGAGATCATCATTGCCAAATTCTGGATATAATTGGTTACATTTTTGGCTAGGTTGATATTCGGCTTCATGTGTCTGATACATAAAATGAGGTAATTATTTATTAATTATTTTCGAGATAAGTGCTGCGCAAAACATAAAACGACAAAGGAAAATGTTTGTGGCTTATCGTTATTCAAATGTGGCTTAGAGAAAAAACATTTTCAAATAGCAAAGCCATCATGCTAACGATCTTATTTTCTTCTTCTTGCAAGGAATTAGGAAATTGAATAAATGTCACAATATACGATAGTAGTAATACAACATGACCCACAACGACCACCACCACCACCACCACCGCCAAACAACTGGCCATCATTTTACCCGATAATTTATCATAATCTTGAAGATTTCCCTGAAAGGGAGAAAACGTTATTGAAAAGAAGTTACATGCTATCAAAACGTACGTTGAATTTTGTTTGTGATATTGCATAAAAAGAATAGGAAGGAAAGCTAATGCTAACATTATATCATTTAGTATACGTTATAACGTTATTAGTGAATTCGTGTGTTGATGTTGTAACTGCGATAATGACGAATAATGGTTTAAGTGTTGTATCTCAATTAATAGCTTCAATCATTTACCTGATCTTGTTGCCATTTGGTGATTTCTTTGGTAGACATTTAAGTCTTTATCTTGCATTCAAGTAAGCAAATGAACGGTTTAATTGCCTTTGGTCCTTGCATATATTCAATACGTACGTACGTTAATCGTCTATTTTTTTTTTTTTTTTTTTTTTTTTTTTTTTTTAAAAAAAATTGGTTAGACTTAATGATGAATCAAGTTTTAGATATTTCTTTTTTGGAGAAACAATCGTTATTTTATTTGGTGTAATTATTAGCATTGGGTTCATACACGGTGGATCTTCTGGGACACTTGGGGCAATCCTTTACTTTCGAAACAAATTATATGTTCTTGGTGTTCTTATTTCTATATTTTTATTCTTGGTGTTAGTGCTGACCATCTTTCACATTATTTTGACGGTTCAAGTGAGTATTTTCAAATTTTGAATATCGTTTGTTGTTTTATAGTTAATTAAATGTTTCCGTTCTTTTATTATAGGTTTATAGACTTTTTAAGAGCAGAAATTTTACTATATGTCCAAGACTTAATCATACTGGTGCCACTGTTTCCCCTGATGTTAGAAGAGCAGCTAGGTTGACATGATATGAACAGTATCTTTTCGTTCGAAATTTTAATTTAGATATCGTACTTTATATGATTTACCATCTTTAGCTATGTGTGTCGACAAGAAATTTTTGAATGTATCACCTATTTAAAAATATTTTTAGCATAAATAGGGGTTTTATTTTTTTTTTTTTTTAATAAAGCGCCACTAAATTTATAATCTTAATAAAAATGGTTAATCTTTAAACCAACTTATCATTTCTGAGAATAATAAAAACAAAAACTTTCGTTCCACCTTTCTTTTAAATTTAGACACATATTTACTTTATTGAAAATAATTAAAATCGAAGAAAGGACACCCTATTGAAAAGATTTTGAGTTCGTTGTTCGATACGAATCTTATCGAAAAATAAAAAATTAGGATTTTAAATTTCAAATTAGAATTTCATGATCATCATGCTTGCATGAAAGCTATCAATTCTTGTAATTATTTTTAACCGAGATTTCTTTATACGTAATTTTTCCGTGCAATACATTTTTTATAAAAGCGTAATAAAACGTTAGGTTATTCAAGTCAGTAAATTCATTCTCTTTTAAAAAGACGATGCGATGCTAACATTTCATTATTAATGGGCATAAACAAATTCGATTTGACTTTGTTAGATTGCTTATAAAACTCTTTGTTGTCATGAAAGGATTTTGGAACCATAAATATTTATTTAAAATAACTATTCTTTATATCATATTAAGCTAATTGTTAAGAATTCATCATTTCAGAATATAATATATTATTACGATTATACCAAAAAAAATTCAACTAAAAAAGGGAATAAATTAATTTACGCTTTTAATTTACGATTGTTTGTTTGCAATACAACTCTTCAATAGTCTCGCTGATGTAACTCTTGTTAGCGCTGCTCATTGCTGTTTCATGAAAAAGGAACGATGAGAAAATGACGGAAAGTGCTTTCTGATATCATTGCTTAATAATTCGATGATTACGTTTTCCCTCAAATATCTTAATAAATTTGATTAATAAATAACCTGACGAAAAAAAAAAAAAACCTTTGAAAGACCAAAGCTCGAACAAGACTATAAATACCTTTGCGCTTAATTAAAATCCGTCATCTCCAATGAATTAAAAAAATATATATTTTTTACGACTTTATGCATTAAATTCCTTATTATATATATTAAATAAACCTTGTTAAAAAAAACCTGGAATTTTAGCCAAATCCAATTAGGTTGAAACAACCCTTGAATTTTATCACAATTAATAAAAATATTTATATATTGACTTAGTAAAATTTTAACATAAACCTTGGAAAGACTATAAATGGAGTTTAAGGAATAAAATTTAAAAGACATTCATGGAATTACTTGTATGGTTTTAACTTGCAAGATCCCGTAAAATTTGGAAGGTTCAATATTATGAAAATCCTTCCATTATGTTATTTACTCAATTGATCTTGCAATTTATTTTCATTATTTCTAAAAAAGAAATAATATAAAAAATTTAGAATTTCTAATTTTAGAATAAAGTTAACTTTGTCACACATGATCAAAAGAATAATGGCCTTATTGTTTGAAGTTGTGTAAAGAAACACCAAAAATTCTAACGCCCATATTTTTATAATTATGAGCGAAACCTAATTTATTGATAAATGCAGGGCGAATTTTGTGTACTTTCTAACTTGCTGGGCCATGCCGACATTAGATTGTAAATAACAAAGAATTCAACCATATCGCTGAAACAGTTTTACTTTTGCAATAAAAGAAATAAGGTTTTGAACCATTTTTTTTCAAAAAAATTCCTTCTCTCTTTTTTTTTTTTTTTTAATAATTTACCTTGAAGAAAGTATCAATTAGTTTGACCTTTAATTTATCTAATTTATCCTATTATGTGAATTTCATTAACATTCGATGTAGGAAAAAAAAGCCTTGTCATACGACGAATAAACAATTAATTTATCTAAATTAGATTAGTTTTAAAAATAAATATTGCATCAAAAATAGATTTCTAAATAATTGAATTCCTTCGAAACATGGAGCTGCATTCGCATGTTTATTCTTTATATAAAGGCCAACATTCGAGTTTCCTTCAACTTGTCTACAAGACAAATTCTCTTTAATATATACCACTTAATTCTTTAATGGTCAATATGAAATTCGCTTTAATTTTTGCCATTTCGTTATTAGTTTCTATAATAGATTCAAATCCAGCCCCATTCGTAAAAAAAATCGGTTCAGTTACACGTAAACTTTTAAATAATCAATTGCAATACTTTTCACATCAATATTTAACTAGCCACTGATAGCCCGAATTGTCTCATCATGTAGAACAACCTGATTATCCAACTATACCGAACGAAATCCAAGTGCCAGAAGGAAACGACTTTAAATTTTTACTTTACGCCTTGGGTTTAAACGTATACGTTTGCAATACTACTACTTCAGAATGGGTTTTCACTCGCGCAATTGATACAACACTTATCAATGATATCACAAAGAAGGAGATGTTTATTACAAAATATGAAGTCGCCGAGCATTTCTTTCTAGAAAAACGTAAGTAAAATAAATGCAAGATTTTATTTTTTTTTGGAATAACACAGAGGGCTAATAATCCCTTTGAAATTAAAGCCGTAAATGGTGGTTTGGCAATTTGGAAATCTTTGGCACCAGGTGATGACTCTTATGTGATTACATCGCTTGCCGCAGCAGTCACATCACCTGATGGCATTGATAATGATTATTGGCTTTCACTGAAAGTAACCGTAAGTTTGAAAATAATTATATTTATTAAATTTTGTTTATATTTTTTTTTAAAAAAAAAAAAAAAATTTATATTTTTTTCGATTGATAGGCAACCGGGGGATATGGTGCATTTGCTGATAATACATATATCCTTCGTGTAAATACTCAAAAAGGAATGCCGCCTCCTGCTAATGAATGTAAGTCACTTCATGAAAAAAAGAAAACTATTTATATTAGGAATTTTGAAATTTACTGATAATTTTCTTTTGTAGGTGGGACGAAATATGAAAATGGTGATGAAATCTTGAGTGAATTTTTATTTCAATATTGGTTTTATCATTAATTTATATTCATTGCGCCGACATCTGTATGAACGTCATTATAAAATATGTCGTCCGAGATCTAGAAACTTAAATTTTTTGGCATTGAGACACAATATAATAACCACCTCGCTATTACTGTTGTAAATTTTATTTTATTTTATTTTATTGTGGAATTTATTTAGCCTATTTATTCCCAAATTTGAATTATCAATCAAAACAAATAATTATCTTTGCGCTTTGACACATTATAAATTAAGTTTACATCTGTTAAAATATCAGTAATTATCAAGTAATGATTTATCAAGCAAATTTAATAAAAAGCAACCGCTGAGAATAAATAATATTCAATCAAGAGATCATTTAATGAAGTGTGGACGAGATAATGCGAGGAATTTATTCTTGAATTTATTATATGACCTATAACGTTAATCACGTTAATCCCTAAATTATAATTTCTTCTAATTAAGATATTACCCATCTTAAACGATTTATGGAACCTTGCCGATTACGTAATACCAATTGAAAACTAGCTTGCAGTGAATTATTAACTTCATTTTCACATATCGATATATAAATATTCTTGTCAATGATTTACTTGAATGAGCTTGTATTAATGGAGTAAAAACAACTTCAACGCCAGTTAAAAATCAATTGTGTAATGATGATGATCGAAAAATGTAATCGTTAAAAGTTAAATATATATTGGATCTACGGTCACAAGATTGTAATTTAGCCGAAATTGCACATGTATTACAAATAAACAATCATATAAATAGTGACCCTTATTCAAAACTCATTTTTGGTAATAACTCTTTTTTTTTTTTTTTCCTCTTTTTAGTTCAAATAATGGAAGACAAAATTTCTACTTTGGACAATGTTCTTCCTTGTACGACCATGAAAGAAACGAACGGAAATGTACTTCCTTCTTCTTCGTTGCCTCCAGAAATTCTAGTCAACATATTTGGTTTTCTTTGTTCGGTCACGGACCTGTTATCATGTGCTCAAGTTAATCAAGCATGGCATCATGTAATCACAGCTTTCTACATATGGCACACAACAAAATTTAAAAATTATGAAACATTTTCAAGATTTCATGAAATATTGCAAATGATATCAAAGACGAGAAGGAAACGGGCATTAGAAAATTGGGATAAACTTATAGCTGCTTACTTGAGCTCCGTTGCAGAAACTTCCAAATCAGAAACTTCTGATGATGATGTAGGTGAAGGTGATGAAACGGTGGGATCCCCGACTCCTTTAGCAAATCAAACTTATTTTCATTCAACAAGATATTATGGTCATTTCGTTATAAAACTTGACTTATCCAAGATTCATAAAAAAGCGAATATCACCGAAAAGATGTTTTGCGATTTGTTTCCAAATATACCAAACCTTGAGAACGTCAATTTTTATAATTGTTACACGGTTACTGATGAAGTAATAAAAAACTTGACGGAATCATGTCATCGCCTAAGGAAATTAAAATTATTCGGATGTACAAGTCTCTCAAACAAATCTTTGGATTATATCGGAATGCATTGTACGGAACTCACCTTTTTAAACATGGGGTAAATTGGTTTTCTTTTTTTCATTATTTATTTTTTTTTTTTTTTTAATGTTTTCAAAAGGATTTATTTTTCTAACCATCTCTTTAAAAAAAAAAAAAAAAAAAAAAAATTAAAATCAAAATCTAGATTCTGCACGTATGTTACTTCGACTGCATTACAAAGATTATTAGAAAGATGTAGACGACTTTCAACTCTCGTAATATCACATTGCTCAAATGCACCAGCAATTACCTTGATTCCCATGGTAAAAAATCTTCAAGGATTACAAAAATTATACATGTATCGTGGTTTTACCTCGGATTTAATAGTTAAAAGTCTTATCCCGCAGATACCAAGACTTCGTAAATTGGATTTGGGAATCAGTAAACCAAAAATTACTGATGTTGGCGCAGATATTATTGCTCAATATTGTCCAAATCTGGTTCACCTCTCTTTGTCATTTAGTCTAGTTACATGTGAAGGTCTAAAGAATATTGGGCAAGGATGTAAAAAACTTTCATTTCTTGATTTAAGTGGATGTTGTAACATTGGTCATGGACTTTATGATGTATTAAAATATTTTACTGAATTAAAAACCATTTACCTCAAGTCTTTATTACAGATATCCGGAAAATCCTTTTCTACTATCATTAAATCTAATATTGAACACGTTTCATTTTTTAGTAGTAAGATTTTAGAAGCAGAAACTTATGATGTTCCTTCTAAAGAAGATAAATCTTATTCAAAAGTGAAAAAGTTGATTTTGGATTATTGTGAGATTTCAAATAAAAATCTAAAGCAAATCGCCCATTGGTCTAAAAATTTGGAACATTTAGATATTAGTTTAGTTTATGATGCTGATGATGAGATATTACAATTTTTATGTGATAATTTAGAAAATTTGAAGTTTGTTTTAGCGAGGGGTTGTTATAGAATTAGCCAAGTCAAACAAGCTGAATTAAATAAGCATCAAAGGATCAAGTTTAGTTTCTAAAAAAGAAATATATACGTATATTTTTGTGATTTTCATTTTTAATTAAAAAAATAAAATTCAACTTGAATGAGTTTGTTTTCATTATCATCTATATTTTATTTTGATTACATTTTGTAGAGCACTCACAATAAATAATAAAGTTCTTTACTTTTACTTTTAATGTTTTGAAGGGAGAACTTAAAATATATTGAGATGGGATTTGGGAATATTAAGAAGAAATCACCGAATTTATTTGAAATTTTTTTTTAAGTTATTTATTTAATTCGCCATGATAACAGTCGTGCTTGTAAAGATGCCATCATGAAATTGTAAGATCGTTTATTTTCTTTTAAAAAAAAAATTTGTATTTAAACTTGAATTTTTTATAATATAAGAAAGTAATTCATTATCGCTTAACAACGGTACGCGGGAGGGCAAAACAAATGATAATCTAGATAGTAACTTTATTTGTTAATATAATAATTCTTTCAATACATATTAAGAAATAGTCTCATTTAATGAGTTTCCCCAAACATTCATGACTCCTATAAGCTCTAAGGAACATGATCCCGATCCCGACTTCGAAACCCAATGGTCAATAATGCTAGTGGTCAGTCAAAGATACCCAATATTTGATATTAATCTCAAACATTATTTTGGATCATGGACGACAACTTGTACGATTCATGTACCTGCTGATGCGGAAGATGTATGAATGACTTTTTAAATCAATTGATATTATTACGTGAAGCCGCACTTTAAGCATTCTTTGATGAATTTCCCAATTTAATAAATAGTGGAATGGATATTTTTTTCATTTAGGAAAAAGAATATTAAAAGGAATGATGAACAGTGATCCCCAGAAATTACATCCATAAGCAAATGAATTAGTTCGAAAAAAAATTACTACGAAACAATTATGTACTCAATTTCGGAATGGTAGTTTAATTCGACTTGTTATATTACAATTATGGTCCTAAGGTAGAATTGGAACAAAAATATCTCATTGTGAATTTTGAACAAGAACAAAAGTAGTTGAGATTGAATGATAATTACAATATTCACAATGATTATGAATGAGGAAAACCGACGGCAATTTTGATCTCTTGTTTAATGAATATTATGATTCTATTCCTCATTATTTACGTAAATAAAGGTGTAGTGTAGTACATTGAAATTGCCTTTTGGGCCCAATGATGGCATGATGGCATAACGTGAAATAATAATGCTTTCCGCCCGCTGTGTGAGATTTAATTTATATTAAAAATTTATTTAATTAAAAATAAAATTTATTTTAAAAAAAAAAATGAATCTAAAAAAGAATGGATGGAACCCAAATCTTTATTAGCTTTATTGCGCTTATTACGAAATTTAATTTCTTTTTATAAACACTAGTGATCTTTGCCGAAATCGAAAAATTATAATAGTAAAATTTTAACTCAAAGCCTAATTTGAAGACAGAGAATAATTAACATTGTTTATTCATTTATTTTAGCGCTAAAAGCTTTTTTTTTTTGTTAATATATTCTACTCTAATAATGGACTGATTTAAGATTAATTTGGTCAATATAAATATATTTAAACATATGATTTAAAACAAATCTTTTAATGTAGCTAGAAGATTTTTTTTTGAGTTGAAATGTAATAAATTGAGAATATGAAGGGAATTTCTTAAATAAGTTCAAGTTCAATTATATTCACAAATCTGAAATATTACGCTTGATTTTAATGTAAAAAAACGCTGCTAAATATAATTTTAAAATAAAAAAGGAAAGTTTAATGAAAACTTCAAATATTTTAACGCTGTCTTATTAATAAATAATTTCTTTAAGAATAAGGAAATAACATTCAAATTGTCTATATATTTCAAAGTTTAATGTGCCAATACTTAGGTACAATAATTTAATTTAAATTATGTGAAAGCTTATAATAAATTACTCTCCAAAAAGAACTTTAAAATTATGTTATGTGGGATTTATCAAAAAGTTATAAATTTAAAGATTTAGGTATGATAAACGTTAAGGAATCGGGTAAATTTGGTAAGCTGGTTATTAAAGTATTGTCACAGTTAAGTTGAGTTAGGGAGTTGGGAAAAGTTGGTAGGATAGTTATTTCAGTATTATAGCAAAAAAGTAACGTTAAGAAGTTGGGTAAGGTTGGTAGGATAGTTATTGGAGTGTAAGAGCAAATAAGAGATGTTAAGGAGTTGGGTAAAGTTGGTAAGCTATTTATTTTAGTATTATGACAACTGAGTGTAGTTAAGGAGTTGGTAAACTTGGTAGGATAGTTATTAGAGTATTAGAACAATTAAAATTTGTTAAGGAGTTGGGTAAAGTTGGTAGGATAGTTATTGGAGTATCAGAGCAAAAAAGGTCTTTTAATGAGTTGGGTAGAATTGGTAAGCTATTTATTCTAGTGCTATAACAACCGAGTGTAGTTAAGTAATTGGGTAAATTTGGTAGGATAGTTATTAGAGTATAAGAGCAAATAAGTTTTGTTAAGGAGTTTGGTAAAGTTGGTAGCTTAATTATTTGAGTATATGAGCAATCAAGTTCCGTTAAGAATTTGGGTAAAGGTGGAAGGATAGTTATTTTAGTATTATCGCAACGGAGTATTGT